AAAAAAAAAAAAAAAAAACCAAAGCAACAACAACAACAACAAATACTGAGGTAAAATGTTTTATCTCCAAAGAATACTGTATCTATCCCTAATTTACCTATAGTTCGCTTGCCCTTTCTGCGCATTACGCTTTTTCACTTTAGGGACTGATACCAGTTTTAACTTTGCTTGCAGATTACTTTCTTTATTATATATTGAACTCGCTGTCTCTTTTCTGATTGGCCGAAAGCGTACAGTGAATTTTCGAAATCAGCGCCTGTGACGTCACCTATCTGCAGATTATACAATAATCATGTCAAGAACACTCAAGGTCACGGATTACCATGTCATGTATGACCGCAGTGCATGATTTCTAAGGGTAATCATGTCAAGTTCGCCGCGCTTTCCGTTGCTTGCCGTCAGTGAAGAAGCAAAACCATGACTTCCATTTTTTCGTTCAATGTATAATACAACAATTATTAGATTCGGTTTTAGTGATATCCAGAATAATCAAGGTCTCGTTAAGGGTTATCAGCGGAAGCCGAAGGCTTCGGCTGATAACCTCTACCTCCTTTACTGCTTCTGTCCCTTTAACAGAAAAGAAATGTGTTTTTTTCACAGTGTTTTCGCCAAGCAGGAGCTAAGGCAAAGACCTTGACCGCACAGAAATTAACGTCAGGGAGACTGGATACCAGCTTTCGGCGCTGGGATGTCTGGGAACGTTTGAACAGTCAAGAAAAAAGAGAGCTGTCTCTGGAGTGAAAACATTCTAGGTAAAAGGCTGTTCAAACTACATCCACTAAACGTTTTGGATCATTGAGATCATCATCATGTCCACAGTAATCAGTGAACTTGGATGAAATGAACTTTTGTCATAATGAAACGCCACGGGTTTCATCAACGTTTTCAGCAGAAGGGCAAGTGGTTTTCAGAGGCGGGCAACTCGTTTTGAACTGAACTTCTTTATAAGAAAAAAATTGCTTCAGGTGGTCAAACCAGGCGGGTAAAAATTATACTCATAGCCGATCAATTTGCCCGGTGCCCGGCCCTTAGTGAAACCGTCGGTCACAAAATTATTTTAGAGAAAAGAATGTACAAAAAGAACATCGCCGCGAGCTTCAGTCTTGAACTCTTAAAAAAGTTCGTGAAGCCGGTTGAAGCCATGTCGGCGTCATTTCCAGTCCATAGATAATATAGGAAATATACGTCACTGGTTGGACATAGGGTATATATTGGCAGATAAATTTATTTGCCCTATTCCTTCAATATAAGCGTTTGGGATACACTATAAAATCCATTACAAATATCTAAGGCACGTAAGGCTCAGTCAATTTATTGCAGTTTGTAAAAAAGAAAAAAAAAAAGTTCTCATGAGCGTCAGGAGCAGGATTCGAACCTGTGACTCTGTAGAATCCCGACGCTTTGCACTGTGTGAAGCGCGCACCATAGCACTGAGCCACCCGGCTTTGACAAAGAATACGTAGGCAAATTGAGGAGCAATGGATATCAGTTTTAACCGCGCATTATGGTCAGCTGGAGGAACGTAAGCAGTGTGCCCTGTTACTTTTGTAGTGAACGGTTTGTTGGTGACATTTCATCTGGCGACCATTCATTAAAGGGATCTTGCTTATCCAGACACAAACGCGTATGTAGACCATAGAACATCCAAGTAATTATAAATTTGTCATTTTTACATCTGTCCAAATTTTATGATTAACGAATTTTATCATTAACGGTCGTAGAGAAGAGGACGGTGTCGTTGATTGTTTGTGCTTTGGTATTTTTAAAGTTAGTTTATTGCAGTTAGTGAAGCCGCATTTTGTGCAAAAGAACATGTAATAGATGTGTTTACCGCGAGCAGCGAACGGCGCAATTTGCATCGTATTTGCGTTCATTCTTTCTCCTTCTATTTTTATTTTATTATTCAGATAAGAGTAAAATATTTTTATTCTTTTTGTTTCGTTTAGGTATCAACAGTGAACAGTTTCAAAGTTTGAGAAAATGGCTTTGGGAACCTTTTGCTCGCTATCGGGAAAGTTCCTTCGTTATTTGTCTGTGA